GGTTTAAGTCTATGGTCAAAACACCTAGTAACACTAACGTCAACATTTCGTCTTACAGGAAGGCGGCAAAATCTGTCATTTTAATAATTTATGATTGTTATGAAAATAACAAACTTTTTCAAGGCATACGTAGCCTTTTAAGCGAATTTCTATCGACCTTTATGTTTTGCAATGATTGTAAGAAAATAAGCTTAAGGTGGGTCAGCCCCTATAGTCTATAGCATGACCACAGAAACGGGATATGATAAAGCGATATATCGACATTAACTGTCAAACTACTGTCAAACTCCACAGTAGTCTGACAGTTAATGCCGATATATCGCTGTATCCCGTTTCGGTGGTCATGCTAGAGAGACTGGAATCAAATTGGCTAATCTAATATATAAAATTCTTGTGTCACGGTGTGCGTAATTGAACTACTTCGAAACGGCTCAACAGATTTTCGTGAAATTTTATATACATATCCAGTAGGTCTGAGAATCGGACAACATCGATTTTTCATCCTGCTAAATGTTAAGGATGGTCCGCACTGAATTTTTTTTGGTCAGATTTTTTGATGTTTTAATGATAAATTATGACACAATACAAAAATACATACATCCCAAAATTTTCACCCTTCTACCACCCATATTTTTATGGCAATACGAAGTTCGCTGGCTCAGGTAATAGTACATAAAACAATACTTGATCATATGTATTATACATTTTAAAGAAAATTTATGATAATACTTGATATATTTTAATGATAATTACATAATAATACAATGTCAGAACGTTGTAATTTTTCCTGCGGATCCATATTTCATATTCTATGGTGTACAATTCCAACTTTAGTCTACCATTTAAAAACAACTGCTCAAGAACATGTTACTACTAATTTAAAAAAATAGTTCACATAAATATGCAAAACTTTTTGCTCGATTCGCAGTAAATGTGACTTGTAATTAGATAAACGTCGGGGCTCCTTTCATTTCTTATTGTATATGATACAGGATTGTATACACTAGCAAGAAAAAATGCGGGAAAAAGTAGGCAAAGTAATTTAGAACATAAGGTCTTATTACATTAAATTTAAATGAATCAACGATTGGATTAATTTTTAGAAATTCTTAATCCTGCTATCAGATGAACCTGCGTCTTATTTAAAGGTGTGTTTAAATGTAATCCTATGTTATTAAGATAACAAATATTAAGTTATTATTAACAAAAAAAATGATGTCTAATATTTTTTAATAAAAATTTACATCAATTAGTTGGGCTTAAAGATGATTATTAAAGACACGAGTAATCAACACGGAGAAACGGGAAAAAAAAGGAGAAAACAAAACGTTTTGACCCGACCTTTGCCGGCGCCGGAGTATATCGAGTAAGAGTGAGACAGAGATATCGATACCTATAATGGGGGACAAGGACAGATAATGAGAGTAATTAACACAAAGCCGTTGCCGAAAACCTACACCTTTTTTTTGTTGGTTCCAATTCTTCGGTTCATTTATTTTAATGTCCAAACTTTTCTCGAGTTTGTTCTGTGAGAAATTTGTGTTTTAAATCATATCAGTTTAGACTTATGTTGTGCGGTAAAGAGCTTTATTACGAGGGAGGTAGGTAGATATTCCTATCGCAATCTTATGTTTTTTACTAATAGTGTTAAATTAGGTTCGTTGAGACCACAATACGTTTGTTTCGTACTAAAGGTATAGCTAAAATTTTATGGATAATATAATGATAGTAATAGGTACTTTAATGTTATGGCTAAATTTCTAAAGCAGAAGCCTGAACTTCACAGTTTTTTTTTATAGCGAGGTATGCAAATGACTCTACCCCACCTGATGTTAAGTGGTGATAAAGTCCAAACGCTAAGATAGCAGGTACAGCAGTTATAAACTGCTACACCAACCATCCTCAATGATGAACAATGAATGAACCATCCTTTATGCAATGATAAGTCATCAACACATCAAATCTATTATAAAATTACTTTAAAATAATAACTCGGTATTATGTGATAGAATAACCAACGTTCCGTTTCCATATTCATGTTTTCAAACCGCAAAAGAATTTAAGGCAGCAAAAATTCAATTTGAAAAAAGAATAATCGATTCCATAATTTCAAACGCTAAGCTGTGCAATACGTTGCTCGGTTACTCGCATTCGGATTTCGAATTCAGAGAAATACGTTTGTATCGATACAAAATGTCGCACGAATTCCTCGGCGGCACCGTCTGATGCATCATTGGTTCAATTGACCGTGTCCGAGCTAAATTGTTTTAAAGAAAACCCACAGAGTGTGACCTCCAATGACCTCGTGGGAGAAGATGGTATAGACAGGGGCTAAACGGGTTGTAATGTAGAAAATTTGGAAATAGAACTTTTGCCTAAATAAAGACATTCCAATTATTAGAAATTTCAAAAAGTTTTTTTTTTTAATTAAAGTTCTCCCTTTTCTTGGAAGGCAAGGGGAACAATGCCCATACAGCCTGGTCTTTAGGTTTTTCTTTTTTTTTTAGGAAAAAGTTGTAGGTAGAGGCAAACTTCTTGACGTTCGCTGTTCAAAAAGTTTGCCGGGGGTGTATACCTACATCTCACAGTTTTTCATAAAAAAACAACAACATTTATCTATAAAGGGTTAATTTAAAAAAATAGTTCCTGTTGATATGTACTATCACCCCCTAAGAGGTTGTTGGTGTTTTAAAATTAACCCTGTACATCAAACGTAAATGGTTTGTAGTTCTTTTAATATTACACGCACGCGCGGAGATATCTTTATATATATAATTCTTCTGTGAGTGTGTATGTCACTGAACTTCTCTTAAACGACTGGACCGATTTTGATGAAATTTTTTGTGTGTGTTCAAGGGGATCGTTACATATTGTCATAACATTTGAATTATAATTTTCATCAAAATGGTCCAGAATGTTTTAGCTTATTAAAAAAAGTTTGAAATTTTCAAATTAAAGACGTGTAGACAGGACAACGTCTGTCGGGTCCGCTAGTCTATTTATAAGATTTTTAAGATTTGCATACTAAAAATTGTTAATTTATTTAGTAAAAAAATGAGTAACAAACGTATTGTTTACATTCTCCCTAACTTACGCTATGACACAACGCCCTTCGTCCTTAACGCTCGATTAGTTACCGTCTTAACCGATAGTCGATGCAGCATATAAATTTCAATCTATGACTCCATTACGACATCGATAAAATCGAATATTGTGCAATGGGGACCATTAAAAACCTATTTTGGTGTGTCCAAGAGGGCGGGAGATTGTAAAAGTAATTATTAATTTGTTTACTAGCGATCGACCGAGACTTCTTCTGCTTTAACTTAGGTCAAAAAGTCAAAAGTCAAAATATTTTTATTCAAATTGTATGCAAATACAACTCTTTTGAATCGTCCATATTTTTTCCCCTACCACTAGTTAAGGACATTTTTTTAGCTGTGGAGAAAAACTGGCGAAATATACTTGACAGCGTTAAATAATCATGTAACAATATTTACAAAATATTATATTGTTACGGTGTCAATACAAAATCATTTCATCTTCGTCATAATTAAAGAAAAAGCCTGCCGGAACATTTGGAACAGTTTAAACCCAAGCATATTTGTCTGAAATAAAATCAGCCACTTTGTAGGTTTTTACAGAAAGTCCTCAGGGACCTAAAATTTTTCGGAATAAACAGTATCCTATATCTCAATCCAGGTCTTATTACCACCATGCCAAACTTTATCCATCCGCAGTTCGTACCGGATTCCGTTCCGTAGTTTTTTCGTTATTGAGTAAACAAAAATACAGACTTAAGCGAACTCCTTTATTGGATAAACGTTAAACAAAAACATATAAACATTTTGAAGTGAAACTTCTTTGCGCACTTTTGACTTGGGGGGTAAGCTGGCGAATGCGATACGCGTTACGAGAAGTGTGTTCGGGCGAGGCGAACGGGAATTGAGTGGGGGATATAAGCAAGAGAAAGCAGTGCGTGCGCACATTTTCTTTCTTTCTTTCTCTTAGTAAATAAAATAAGTATATACATTTATAGGATATTGTACACACACATATATATATATATATAAAAAGAAGTGCTAAAGAAGTTTCACTTCAGTCGTGTGGTCATAAGCACACTGGTTTTTTTTATTTAATTTATCTTTTCGTAAATAATATAGAACTGATAATTTTAAAGTCATTTAGGAAAATATATTGATTGTTTGTTTACCATTACAAAATTATATGAACTTAACAATACCCTTGTGTAGACTAACACAGACATAACTTTCAAACTAATCAGAGATGTCAACAGTTGTATTAGTTATCTTTATTTTGTAGTATAAAAAGTTCATGCCCCGCTGAGCGCTGCGCTGCGTTACCATCAATATTATTGACAATAATGCGCACCGATGGAGAACGTATTGACAGTGGATTGCTGGCGAAGATCATTAATTATGATGCCAATAATTATGTATTATACACGATTGTATAAGTAGAATACAATGTTACTTAAATACAGTTAAGATTTGCAATTTATTTATTTTTTACTTTTTAGTTATCGCTGGACGTAATCGACTACTTCAAAAACCATATTAACATATTCTTAGAAAGTCCTTTCATTTGATACCCATATTATAGGAAAGTATAAAAAACTTAGTCCGCCATATTGAATCTAAGGTGACGTCACTATATTTTTCGAATTATTCTCAGCAAGCCCTTTCATTTCATACCCATATTGTACGAGTGCGTCAAAAATAACTAATCGGCCATCTTGTATCTTCCGCCATATTGGATTTAGAATGACGTCACACAACTAACCATGCATTGTCATCCAAACTAAACGTGTGTACAAAATTTAAACTCAATAGAATAAAGATATCTGCTTCAAAATTGAGTTGCAAGATTCCACTCGAATACATACTTACATTGTAAGTTCAATAAAAGCTTTTGAAAAGACTAAAATAAATAAAAAAGAAAGGAGATAAAAAAGTCACATTTTCTCATTGTTGTTTCAGGCTACGCCAGCGGCGCGAATAGCATCCGACCAGTGCGGGGAATCCCTCAAAATTACCCGAATCCAATCACCAGGCGGGAAACCCGGCACCCTGAGTTTCTCAGATCCTTTCGGGCCTCCCCAGTCCTCGGACGGGGGGGGCCCATCGACCCCCCAACCCGCCATGACCACCCAAGAAGCCCTAGACCACCAACACCACCACCTAGGTGGGTCCCAAACACCACACGACATCTCGAACTCGGCAAACTCGACACCCACAAACGTTTCTTCAAAGTCCGCCTTCATAGAATTACAGCAGCACGGTTATGGTCCTTTCAAGGGTGGTTACCAACACCCCCATCATTTTGGGAGTCCAGGGGGGCAGCAGAACCCCCATGAGGCGTCAGGGTTCCCAAGTCCCAGGTCCTTAGGTTATCCTTTCCCTCCTATGCACCAAAACACCTATGGCTACCATTTAGGGTCCTACGCCCCGCAGTGCGCGAGCCCGCCAAAAGACGGTAAGTTTTTTTTTTATTTTATTTTTTATTGAAACCTTATTGCTCAATATTTATAGGTCTATAGATCAGCGGAACAGCTATTTCGTGATAATGCTCCAGATTTCCAAATTTAGTTTGTAATCTGGAGCACTATGAATAATGTGAAAGAATAAATCATTTTAATTTAATCATATGGAATACTATAGATTCTGTGATTTACGACTCGACGTATATAAATCAAAAACGATGAAGATTTTGGCGAAAACCTACTTATTAGAGGTGGGCTGACTAGTCGGGAAACACGACTATTCGGCATCGTTTGTAGTCGGCGATTAGTCGGCGACTATTCGACAAAACATGCCAATTATAATCGGCACATAACAAATGAAATAAAACATACAGTTTATGCTTGCTTTTTAATTTCTCAACATTATCTAGAGTTTGCAGGTACCTATCAAAAGTTACAGCCTCAAAATATATTCTTTATCTCAATTAGATTATGAATATACGGCACAGCAAACACAAAACGAACATTTGAAATAAAAATATAGGTAAACAAAACATTCAGTGGCTGCGTAATGACTCGTCGTGCATTAGTAATCTCAGTAATGACGAAATATTCCAGACACCTATGGGACACCTCCATATGATAAGAAGTATTATAATAGAATGACCAGCCTTGACGACTAGTCGCCGATTAGTCGGCAATTTGAAAACCGATCAGTCGGCTAGTCTGTTAGTCGGCAAATACTATAGTCGGCCCATCTCTAATAATTATGTTTACACAACGAATAAAATTGCTTTTAATTAAAAACAAAAGAGGCTGTATGGGCATTGTTCCCATAGCCTTTCCAGAATAGGGAGAACTTAAAAAAAAACGAGCGTGCCTTACAGTAGTCGCGTATGATGTTTAAGAATTGAAACCTCACCTTATGTTAGTAAAAAAAGAAATAAAACCTACTACAAAAGGAATAAGCCATTTGAACATTATGTTCTAAAATCAAATCAAATAGCGCGCGCTTTCGCGACTTACTATTACACACTTCCGTCCCATTTCACGAAATCACTCGCACAAATTGCAGGAAAACGAGAGGAAAGATGTTACACATCAAAAACTATAACGGGTTATATCCAGTTTTCCCTATTTAAAAGTGTTCATTGAGAACGCAGGAGGGATTACAGCTGACAAGAACACTAGCAATTTTATTATAATCTATATATAATAAGTACAATCAAACATGGTTTATTTAAGTGTTAAATGCTTGGGTTTGGTTTGATCTATTATCAATAGCAACAATTTTCTCCGCTAATAGTAGAAGATCGTCAGCTGTTTTCACCGTAACACTAACTTAAGTGATAAAATGTTAGGTTAGGCAACGTTAAGTGGTAAGAAAATAATAAGTTAATTCACAGTACACCTGGTTAAGAATACAGGGAGCTGTCCTTCTTTTACAAATATGAAGAAAAAAAAATACCTATATAATAATCACCCACGCACCAATTTTTCAATTGTTCAAAGTAACAATTTGTGTAACACCCAATTTGCTTACGAAATGACACAACAGTGTTGTGTTTTCTTTTGTCTTTACTTCTTTAGGGTTTTTTGGGGTTCCACACGAAAGGGATTCTATTAAAGCGTCTGTGCTCTCTTATATGTCTGTCAGTAGTATGTTGTTTTATATAAAAAATTACGACTTTCGTCCTTAAAAACACGAATAGAGAAAATAGAACAGCAAATTTTTTGAATCTTAAATTTTTCGAATTTCTGTCTTATTTTCTCTATTTATTTGAGCGTATCATTATTATAAAATCTCAATTTTGAAAATAGAAGATGATCTCTTCTTCTTTGATTTCGGCTGGTGTTGCCATTAGCCATGAAAATGATCTGAATAAGAAGGAAACTTATACGATGGTACGGAACGCTTCGTACTCGTATACAACTCGCACTTGGCAACTTTTTATAACCCGAAATTACCGCGAAGGTGCCATGATCGGATGTCATTACGAATTATCGGACTATCTTATTATATATTAGACGCGTGAAGCCATGTATTTAAACTTCGTAGTAGTTCGGAAAAGAAAAAAAAATGTAAGTAAGAACTTACTTTTTTAATATTACAGTAAAGAGGATCGTATCGGCTCTTTTCGTATAAGGAGTTTTTTGTCATTTACACTTGAAGATTTCATTTTGTCTTTTACAAAGGTGAAGATATAACTTCCGATATTATTTTTATGTGAAAAGGGTAGGGGAAATGGGATGGCAAGCGGTCAACATAGACTATATACGCTTACGCTTCTCTTGAGCATGACTTTTAATACTTACTTTGTAAAGCTCTGACAACCTGTATCAGAAAAAACTAAATTTAAAATCAGTCTCTCCTTTTTATTCTATGTATAGAATGACAAGGATACATTGTTGTCAAATTTACGTTCAGGTTTAGAAAATTATGCCAGAATCGATTAAGTTATGTTTAAGAGATAACACTGCATATAGTTTTTATACTTTTACTAGTGTGACCCACCCATTGCTTTACATCGGTTTAGACTATGGTATATGGCCTCGGTCTTGCATCTGTATTAAGGAAAGGCAACCGTACTGACTGGCTGATCAAACAATGCACAGCTCGAACCACTGAAGGGAATGCGCTGATATTTGCCTCACATATAGCTATTATGATGTAGGCGTGCGCTAAGAAAGGATTTTCCAAAACTCACTCAACTGTTTGTTTGATGGCGTTGCGTTGAACTTTCTCAAGAGCTTGTAACAGCCTAGACTATATAAATGAGTTTGAATTTGAATTTGTATGGGAATCTAATATTTTCACGCAGACAAATTCTTGGGCACCCACCTGTAATACACATAAACCGTTGGTAAAACTAACTAACTGATGGGTAACCTCATCAGTTGCATAGAATCCTTTGCATGGTTTAGAAAGAATGAGTGGATATAGAGACAGACATTGAAAGCGTCATTATTTTATACCTTTTACTGATTTAAACGTGTCTAATAATTTGTCGATTTTCATGAAACAGTGCATAGGAGTGCAAAATAATTATATATTGCATCAGCTGCTTACTTTCCCGCGCAGATATCAAAAGCTACGTGTTACGAACGCTTTGCAAAATTATTTATTACGAAACACAAATTTTTAGTGCCACAAATAGCGGCCACTGAAAAGTCGCATTGTGTAAAAGCACCTCTAATCGACGTCAAAACACTGTCAGTCGGCATATAACTCTAGACTGTCATTTATTATTTATCTTAGCCCCCTCTGCCATACAATTTAGTAGTACGGTGAATTTTTTAACGCCCTGCCTGACCGACGTTTGACACATTAAAGTTTTATAAGCCGATACAATACCGTGAAACGGAACGTTGAGGATTCGAATTTGAATGGCGAATGACAATGGTGGCCAATTCGTTAAGAATGCAAATTGTGCAGTTTGAATTTAGAAACAATCTTGTCTTGAGCGACGAGTGAAAAAACAAAACGTCTTTTATGTAATATTTTCGGTTTTATCGCGTGCTTAGTTAGATGATTTATAGTTTGACATAAATAATTAAAGCAAATGGATTCAGCCAGGAACCTGCCCTTTTCTTATTCCGGGAGAACGCGCTATTAAGTTTACCTACTTAGGTCTCAGATAATAATTTGTCTTTTTCTCAGGTTAATGATCTTCTCTGCCGGCAGAGCTATGTTCTCATATCACTTATACCTTGCAGTGAAACGCTTCAAACAGTAAACTAGTATGTAAACTTAATTTACCTCTTGTACTAATTTTATCGGAACATATTTTCATATAAAAATTACAATTAATTAAATAATCTGGGTAGTTAAACAACAGTCCATCATCGCTTCAACTAAAAGTATCTATGGCTACAAATAAAAATTCACTTGCACGTGAGCACAAGAAATAAAAAAAAACAAAACACTGTCGATGCACGCCGAAATACCAAAAAAAATAAAAACGCGCAAAGGAAACTGGACGTTAAAATTAACGGTTTCCGACACCGTTTTTCCTCGACAGACGGTAAAACAACAAGGTCGATTGTCCGTTGCGAGATATCTCGCTTCCCAAATATTTCTTGATTTCACGACTTTCCCTAGGCAGTTCGGAAGGTCATTGAGTTTTTCACGTGTTAGCGTGCATCGGAGATTCTGTTTTGCAATCGTTCTTTTGATGCGGGCTTGGAATAGTACCATGTTATTAGTTACATAACCATCGTGCTTTGTTTAGTGAGTAAAAAAATATGTTAGCAATAATTTCGGTAGCATTTTCTACACACGTAACATTTTTTTTGATTCCGGGACTGTGTAATCTCTTGCAGCGGAGCTACGTATTATTTTCTATCGTACTGGATGATTTAAACATAGAATACTTTTTACTCGGACGGATAACACGGACAATGTCGCGAGATGAAGCTAGTCAAGAAGAATAAAGTTCTTTATTAAGATTGGCGAAACAGTTTTAAAATTTGGAACAAATAAAAAAAGTTTTTTACCACATAGGTAACGGTGCTATGATGTTTTTTTTATTAAAAAAAAAATGAGTTTGTCATTGTTTTTAGAAAGAATCCCATTTCGAATTTGGAACAAAACGAATAAAATTTTCGTATTTTCAAATCACGAATCCGTCAAAACACGTTTCATACAAGTGTTTTATTTGTTGGTATGTATGTCTTTATTATGTTAGGAAACAAACAGTTTTCAAACAAGGAACAAATAAAAAGAAAGAGTTTCTTACCACACAATTAATATGTTAAGGTGTAATGATTTCTTATAAAAAAAAGTTTACGAATTTGAAACAAAACGAAGTAAAGTTGCGTATTTTCAAATCACGAATGCGTCAAAACGCGTTCCAATCAACCGTTTTATTTGTAGCGACTATGAAAACAACGTTACATAAATTATCAAATAAAACATAACGAGCAGACGGAACTCTTTATGATTATGACAAATTGACGTTATTCATTATGTTATTATTGCGTTAACACTAATTCTAACTGCCCGCCGCCTGTT